TTAAATATAAGATTATATATTACGGTAGTTGGAATATGGTCCAATTGTTTCGTACAGGCGTCAGGGATGTCGAAGTGTTTAATTTTATGTTTTAAAATATTATACTATTATKCATTCTATATTTAGTTGAGTGGAGTGTAGCAAATAGTTAAAGATACTATTAGTATTTAATGTATATTATAATAAAAACGGTTTTTCATCAAAATATTAACGTTAAATAGTGGTTTAAATCAGGCTAATGAAAAAATTAACTTAAATTAGTAAATTAAACTTAAACYTTTCTAACATGAATCTTTTGCTAGCTGCATTGTAAATACAAWATTCAAACTTAGGAATCAGTCAAAATACAAATAATAACGCTAAACCGATATTCCAATCAATTTCACTTGTGTTGAGAACAACATATTTTGCTCTTTGGAATATAAGTTATGAAAATCATTATGTGAGATCATTAGAAGCTTTTAGGAATGCGTTGAAGACTTACATTACAATTACAAATGTTTACCATTGAATTATAATTTTCTACCCAAATAATCACTTAACTCGTTGTATAACTGTCCAATATTTCACGATTTTATAAATGTTGATACATATCATAAAAAAAGTGTTCAAAACTCTTGACAAAGAGTTAATGTTATGAGTTTCTTATGATATTTTATCAGGGTTGATTAGCTCATACACATAAGTGCATGATTATTGATTTAAAGTATTTATTATTTAAAGATGATTACGGTTGTTTTACTTTTATTGATACTAGATTGCAGGATCATAATAACTCATTAATCATTATAATTCAATACCATATAAAAAAACTTAAGGGTTTTTTTTAAAAGTAATTTAAAAAAACGCGTTTATAATCATAAATATAATCTTAAAARGTATATAAAATATACTAATTGTAAAATTAAAACATTTTTTTTTTAGGATTTAATTTTTAATGCGTTTACATTTTTCSTATATGAAATTATGGTATATAATTTAATATTAATAAATAACGGAAATTTAATTTCTTAGTATGAATCGTAATTCCAGTACGAGTGTGCTCATAAAAAATCTAATCCTGTTTAAACAGTTAATTAAAAGTGAAAGTTGTTTTAAATACTTTAAATTTAAATATTATAAAAAAAAATATTTATAAAATATGAATATGATGGGTTAAAAAAAAATTATAAATAATTTGCATGATGATTACCAGGGCAATTTAATCATTTTATTAAAGTATTAATCATCTAATTATTATATACGTATCTACGATGGAACAATTCACGGAAAACGAGAGGATAATAATAAAAATAAATAATACTAATAATACTTGGAAGGAAAATTATCACTTATAAAAAATACCAATGAAACAAAGTAGAATGAATTAAAGACTATTGACAGCATATCACATATTATGCATCCAAACTCYGATGCAAATTAAACTTTAACTTAGCTTCGATGAAAACTAGTTAAGTTCAAAGTCAAAGTAATAATAAATTATACATTTGCTTACTACTTGGATGGTTCCATAAAATAGTATGATTATGGKTTGGTAAATAAAGATTTATGCGATAGAATCCATTAAGATTGTGGTCCAGAAATAAACAATAAATTTAATTTTCAAATGCAAAACTTCTAAACACATATGTTAATATTGTTAGTTGCAATAATTCCAAGCATATTATGCAATAGTATTTTCAATTTAAATATAATATTTTATATCTTAGTTAATTTTTCGTGACTAAAGGGTATTTTATTT